TATATATATATAAGGTGTTGTTTTTGTATGACAACCCAGTGTCAAGGATGCCTGCAATGCCAGCACAACGTTATGACATCATGCATGCCTACCTGATCTGATCACTGCGGGAGAGGAAGCAGTGAAAATGTCGGCGGTGTGGATGTTTTTTAAAGTGTCAGAAACTAATAGCAGAAGTGCTATTTGCAATGACTGCTCAGCGTCAATGATGCGAGGAGGAGCAAAATTTCTGAGGGCTATATTCTGACAAAGAAGCTGACAAATAACTTTTGCACTTCTGATTTTATTTGCACGTGGCAGAACTCATGGAGATTTGAGCTGATCAATGAGATTGTATAACCACGTATCGGGACTTCTGTTTTAAGTTCATTTTTAATTTCAGAAACTTGGAATGCACTACTTACTTACGCGCTTTCCACTTGTCGCTTGTGAACAGGTTGAGTTTTGATTTGTGAACATTTATAAATTTGCGCTGTTCCGAGTGTTGTCATTGTGCTAGAGAGATTAAATATCACAAATAAATTTGACATTAAACATAATCCAAGTTGAAGTGTTCGATCTGTATCTGGTAGCAGGCCAAACTGACAAACACCATGCAGAATAATGTAGTATTTTAATTCCACAGCAGAGACATGTATGTAGTCTCTGTCAGTAGGTCTAGAGCGGGAATATCGATATTTGTATCGTCTATCGGCCAACTAGGTTTTAACATATCGCCATATCGGATATCGACCAAAAATCTAATATCGTGCATCTCGAGACAACCAGCCAAACTGTGCGGACTGTAGGAAGACACCTCTCATCCACACAGTCGTGCAGATTTACCTTTTGGGCGTGAATTGTTTCCTGATTCTTGCAGCTATCACATAACTCCAGGAGACAGCGCCGCGCCTGGCTGTAAAACTCCGAGTCCTGTTTTTATCAACGCAACACGGTCAGAGTTCACGACTTGTGTTCTCACATGCAGACCTCAGATCCCGCAAGGTGGAGTCACAACCGCAGCAGACCCTTGCGGGGGCAATAAATGGTCCTCAAAACGCAATAACGATTCATTTAAGCCCACAGGAAATTCTTCGTGAGCTTAAGCTTAAAGAATGGCTGGCACGCTCAGTCTGCTCCTTGTTCCAGCGTTTTCCACACTATTATCGTTTTTTTTTAGAAACGTCTTACAGATGCGTCAAAAGTTCCCAAAGCTGGAGAAACAAAGCTGCTGCTTCACTTCCAAGACTCGGGTGTGTGCTGATAAAAACCAAGCTCCAGGAAATATGTTGTTTCCCAACTTTCTTTTTACTTTGGGTGTCGGAGTCCGGTCGGTTTCCTTTGAAGTGAGGAGAAGTTGGGACTTCCGCCGCTGTTTGTAAAACACGAAGTTAAAGAAGACACTTACCCACTCCGTACTTCTCTTTTTTAGTGGGAATCCAGCGGGTCATAGCGGGGGGACGAGGGGGGAGGATGTAAGAGTTGTCTGAATAAATAAATTACTATGTACACTTGCTGCGAGAGGACGGGCGGTGCTCTCCTGCTCGTCCCAAAGCTACAGTTCCGCCATCATGACTCCTGTAGACCGAGAGGAGGGAGGGGGGAGGAGGGGGGGTGCAGAAGACAGAGAGGGTGGGACAGACAGAGGAAGGAGAAAAGAGGAGGGGAAGACAGAAGGAGGGCAATATGGGGGGGCAGACAGAGTGGAGGAGGGGGATACAAAAAACAGAGGGGGAGTACTTGGGGGAGAGGAGGAGAGGGTAGGACAGAGAGGGGGAGAGTTGAGCTGGAGGACAGGAA